TAGGGGGCGTTTTGTTCGCAGAATGATTTCTGAAGGAATGAAATCTGTCAAAGGAATTGGAATCTGGAAGGAATTGGAATGGAATGTTTTCAGGTTTGAGCAAGTGTTTGATTGGCAGGAATGGAATTTAAATAGTCTAATGAATTGGAATATGTCTGTTTGGTTTGCAACATAATTGGAATGAAATGATGAAAAAAGACAAAAATACCCTTACTTCGATATTTTTTAATTTAAAACAAAAATACAAATAACATTATAAATTAACATTTATTGAAATATATATAAACATAAAACGTGAAAAAATTCAACCAACCATAAACCAAACCGTTCATACAAGTTAACACATCAAATACCCATATATAAATACTGTTACCAACAAGTATTTACACATAGCATTCAAGCAATAGGTAACACAAAAATATTGTCCAAGCAATATGTAACAAAAATATCGTCCAAGCAATATGTAACAAAAATATCGTCCAAGCAATATAGACCGATCAATGGTCTAACATAACCAAAAAATATTGTTTTTGACCACCAATTGATCATCAATCTAACGTAACCAAAAGATATTGTTTTTATCACCAACTGGTCATTGGTCCAACATGAAACAGACCCAATTTTCACGTCTTTCCTCCTTCAAGCTCCAAAAAGTGATCACAGATTCAAAGTCCTTTGTTATCTTTCGCAATGCACAAAGCATTTCAGTTTCTGAAAATGTCCCGAACTTATCAATCTCATCAGCAATCATGGAAGTTTTTTTGAGCATTTCAACTTCAACTTCCATCAACGYTGACGATGCTTTCATAAGTTTGTCACCATGCATAAATGTTGCATTGTTGATTACCTCATGCAAAGAATCATTCATGTGTTTCCTTTTCTTGCTACCACTTGTGCACTTTTGACTTTGCACATTTGTGTGTGCATGAGAGGCATCATCTTGATCATCACAAAAGTTGTCATGGAATTGATTGATCTGGTCTTCCATGCTTGCATCCTCCATCTCCATTGCATCTCTTGCTCTACTCCCATTAGCTCTATCCTTGCCAAAAACAATGCACAAATCCTCAAAATGAGGAAATGTCTTGTTTTTCCATTTCCCGGCCTCTTTGTGAACCTATATTATATCATAAAGTTGTAACATTTAATTATAAAACAACATATATCATAATTACACCAAACACAGTGAATTTGTACCTGTAGATAGGCCTCCCCAGACTGGTGGTTCAGCAATCACATRATATTTTTCACTATCAAAACCAAACCCGCTAGTATTACTACCATGCATCATGTCATACCATGATAATCTTTCTGATGATCAAGATGATGCCTCTCATGCACACACAAATGTGCAAAGTCAAGAGTGCATAAGTGGTAGCAAGAAAAGGAAACACATGAATGATTCTTTGCATGAGGTAATCAACAATGCAACATTTATGCTTGGTGACAAACTAATAATAGCATCGTCAGCGTTGATGGAAGTTGAAGTTGGAATGCTCATAAAAACTTCCATGATTGCTGATGAGATTGAGAAGTTCAGGACATTTTCAGAAACTGAAATGTTTTGTGCATTGCGAAAGATAACAAAGGACTCTGAATCTGTGATCACTTTTTGGAGCTTGAAGGAGGAAAGACGTGAAAATTGGGTCCGTTTCATKWTGGACCAATGATCAGTTGGTGATAAAAACAATATTTTTTGGTTACGTTAGATCGATGATCAATTGGTGGTCAAAAACAATATTTTTTGGTTATGTTAGACCAATGATCGGTCTATATTGCTTGGACAATATTTTTGTTACATATTGATTGGACAATATTTTTGTGTTACCTATTGCTTGGATGCTATGTGTAAACACTTGTTGGTAACAATATTTATATATGGGTATTTGAGTGTTAACTTGTATGCATGGTTGGTTGAATTTTTTTATCGTTTTATGTTTATATATATTTCAATAAATGGTAAACATTTTTGTCCTCATTAAATGTTAATTTATATTGTTATTTATATTTAAAAAAAATATCGAAGTAAGGGTATTTTTGTCTTTTTTTGCATCATTCTATTCCAATTCTGTTGCAAACCAAACAGACAGATTCCAATTCATTAGACACATTAAATTYCATTCCTGCCAACCAAACACTTGGTCAAACCTGAAAACATTCCATTCCACTTCCTTTGACAGATTCTATTCATTAAAAAATCATTATGCGAACCAAACGCCCCCAAGCTCATTTCTCTTTGTCGTGATTTTGGATGAGATTTCGCAAGGTATCCAAGGGCGTGTCCCATGGTGCATATGATCTGCGAATGAAATTGTTTTGGTAGCGAAATTGACGAGGGAAGTGAACGCTAGGCTAGAACAGTGGGGRTAGCTCTGGAGACTCGAGGCTTGTGCATTAATTGCTCAAAGACTGAATACCTTTGGTGCAATTTTAGTAGGTGTGTAATGTTGAGGGGGGAGGGTTAGAGAGTCGACAACTAGGTATTAGTACCATAGAATAGTCGACCGCATCTTCATTCTTAGCTAGTTTAGTGGTTTCTCATCTTCTCGTAGGCCTTTATTGTCCTTGYGTGCTTTATTATTCTTTCATGTTACTCATACTCTTCCTTCGACTGTCCTACCTACGTTTCTATTATGTATTTTTTTTATCTTTTCGTTCTTCTTTCTCTGACTTTTCCAGACTTTCGAGCCATTTTTTTTGGTTTGCAAAATCATTTTCTCAAGATCCTTTTTACAACACCTCTACTCTTTGGGGTAAGGTCCACGTACAACCTACCCTCCCCATACTCTATTCCTTGTGGGATTCATCAGGTTTCTTGGCTTGGTTTATACARTTGTTCATTCTGGTACGAAGGCAGGGTATTGAGCACTTGCTTTAATGGTTGTATATCTTTGTTGGYTCGCACATTTGATGAAGGAACTTCCCAGATTTTCTAGTCATCCTTCTACTTTTTGGTCTGATAATATTGGTGCCACCAAGCTGCTAATCTAGTGTTTCATCAACACACTGAAATCRAAATTGATATACACTTTGTTCGAGATATGGTTCTATTAAGTTCATTAAAGATTCACCATGTTCCAAGTATACAACAACTTGATGACATCTTTACAAAGGGATTAGCTGCACATTGATTCYTGTTTCTTCAATCCAAGTTACTCGTCTATCATGGCATTCAGCTTGCGAGGGGATGTAAGGGTATAGCGACTGTGACCAACATGTTAGTATAGCATTTCTATGTAACCGACTTAGCATTCTCTCTCTCTCTCTATATATATATATATGTGTGTGTGTGTGTGTGTAAGCTAATGACTTGAAAACAATTAGAAAAACAATCATGCATCTCTCCAAACTTGGTTCTCATTTTACATTCTTTTGTATATATGTGGCCTCTTTCTAATAACGAAATCTTAAAGGGTTGGGTATATTTGTTGAAGAAAATAAGATGGAAAATCGAAAAAGGATAGAGATTTGTGTTTTATTTATGGGGTTTGAAACTTTGGCCTCATTAAAGGCAAATGGTTAAATGCCTGTACTTATTCGTAGACTAATTTTGTGAATCATGAAAGAAATAGTTTATAATTTATAACTAGCATTCACAAAGTTTAGGACCAATTTTGGTTTTTCAAAAACATAAATGGTTCCCAATCATTGTTTTGTTATCCACTACTCTCAAAGAACGCAAATGGAAAACAAAAAACGGAAGAGATGCCAAATGATATCCTAGGTAGTGATTTGTTTTATGTTTTAGGAAGTACATGAACTCACTAAAGATTTGGTGCGTTATTTTATTTTTTTCCGGCCTGGCTGCTGCATGCATATTTTTGAAACTGTAACATTATTTGATGTCAAGGCTTTTAAAAAATTACTAAAAGCCTCTCAAGCCTTACTGCTCACCTGCATTCAAGCCTTATCAGCCAAACTAACGATGTTGGAGTCACACTCGGTTGAGCTAAGCTGCAACCAAGAACAGGTCTTTTGTTTATTAAATTGGTCTGAATTGAATACATGTCATGCTCCACCCAAGCCGATTGACACCTATTGTAGATATGGCAACCTAATACACAAGCATGGAGCTTCAAACTTCATTACTCCAGACTAACCAAAAAAAGTGCTTATAACTGGAATCAGTTGAAAACATGCATATTTAGAATCATGAGCTTGTGTAATGAAGGTATTGACATTAGTTTAGCTCGTCACTTAACTAAACGGCTAGTGATTCACGTTTTGATGTTGAAAGCCAACCATATTGACTGGATGCTCTAATTGAAGGTTCCACAAATTTGAGTTAGATAAAGGCGTGATTTTGTATAAACAATGGTTAAACTTTTTCATTATGTTTCTTCGTTCTTACTTCTTTTTCAAATCATTATGACAGTTTAAGAGATCCTAAGTATGTCTTTCTATGGTAATATGATTAGTTGTATACRGTTCATTTTGGTTCACCTTAACTGTGTTTCAGAATCAGTTGAAAGATATGCTCAATATTTGATTTAGAAACTTAGGCATCGATAACGTAAGTGATGAGGTAACCACACATCTATATGCGCCATGTCAGGGTCAGTGCTGGAGTGGCATAGATGCTTATTTGGTAGCACCCTTCCCAATTTGATTTGTCATTGAATAATTGCGACGAGCTAGGCATGGACCTTTGATGGTTCTTGTATTTCAGTTTTGGAGTCATTTGATAGAAGGAATCTAAGTGGCATGCTCTTTATACAAAAGAAAGTGAGGAATTAATCCCCATAAGTCTCAACACATTCTCCACTTGACCGAAAAAGAAAAAAGGAAAAAATAAGAATATTGCTTAGTGAGGGTTGGTAGCGTAGTTTTCATGATTATGGTACAGGTTACAACTAACAGGTGCTAAATGKACTATGGGTTATGTATACAATTAGTATAAAGCAAATTCATCTCCTTAGATGGCATTTATTAAAAATCATTTGCATTTTTGTTGYATTTACTTGATAGTTGATTTCTGTTGATTTCCCCTCCTTTTGCAGTTCATTGGAAATTACCAGGAAACTTCTGGGGTTAAGACTGGATGGGGTGCTGGTGAGTTGATATTATCTTTCTGGCTTCTTACCTGCTTCAAGGAATTTTGAATAGATCAAACCTTGAATTTTCTTTGTCTAAGTGGATGTTTCACAAATGCAATGCATCTAAAATTTTACAATGCCAGGCTTCTGCTGATAAAACTAGGAGTAGTAAACAAKAAAATGTGAAATATCCTTAGTTGTTCAAAAAAGAAATTATTTTCTCATTATGGATTATTCAATTATATGTGACCTATAACAATAGGCAACCTTGACGTTGGCTTTTGTCAAACATGCTGTTATCCATGGATGATGGAAACAGCATGTAATTTACATTAATACTCTAGTTTTTGAATATAAACAAATTCTAATGGCCATTTCCCCCTATGCTACACTTGTGCTTGTGATTATCGTATAATTTGGGCATGATAATTCATTCTTATTCTGCATCATTCCCACCTCCTGATTTGAATCTTCCCAAGAGGAAAGATGATGGTGTGATTTCTGTCAATGAGGACCAAAAGTTTGCACTCTCGCAAGTTATCGTAGTAAGAATGTAGAATGTGGTGTAGCTGGTGCCACAGGGATGAAAAATATTAAGACCCACATATAATTTGGAGGAAAAGGCTTCAGAGTGATGCTACATCCTCCTTTTACTAAACTGGGTCTGTTCTTATCTGAAAATGGGTATAATAACTTATTAGATACCACGGTCATAATGATTCATCATGTCTAAGTATATGATGAACAAACAAGTCCCAATTGGTTTTTGTATGCAAGCATTACAAGAACGTCAGGCTTGAGGTCAATGCATATAAATGTACATCAGTAATTTTTTTAATCTTTTGCACTTCAAGATTGTATGCAACTTATATGATGAACTCAAATCAGCAAAGCATCTATGCTGAAGTAATTGGGGCAGGCCAAATATACTGAACTTTCTAAGGTGCATGTGAACATTCTAAATTATCGTATGCTGGACTGTTCTCTTAGAGTTTGAGTGTCCATTATAGCATAGTKAGTGAGATAATACTTGAAAAATATCTTGTACTTGTGTTTGCACAAGGATGATAGAACTTAGTGTAAGTTCTTTTCTCGTAKAGGGCAAGTTTTGTTATGCTGGTGATAGGACTAATTGGCATATTGGATGACTGTAARACCGCACGGTAGCCTTACTCACTATCACTTTTTTTTTGAAGTATATAATATTTATATGCGGTAAATAGAACAAATAAACTCACACACCCTCCTCACCTTTGGTGAGGTTTGAACCTTTGTCCTCCTAGAAGGCCAAGGACTCACATACCGCTAGGCCAAAGGCCCTTTGGTTACTCACTATCACTTGATGTCTGCTACCAGCTTCGACTCTTAATATTGTCTACCGACCTGCCAATTGCACCCCAGTCACAATCGATCCACATAAAGAAGTTTTCTGGTCTATTTGATGCTTTATCAGGACCTCATTTTCTGAAGTTGTTTCTCGATGCTTTTATATGTCGGAAGATTTTGTTTCACATTGACTGGTCACTGTGACTAATTTATACCRTCATTGAAATGTCTCATGTGAAACTGGCCATTCAAATGTGCCAAGGGTTCTGGACATTGCCTAAATTCGTGCTTTTGGTCTTCTACACACATCTGGACATACAGGATAAAAGTAGCGACTATGAACTTACATTGTTAAATATTTCAGATCCCACAAGTAATATTCTGTAAGAAATTCATCTTCAGTAATCATATAGCTTTACTCAAGATACCTAAATACATAAGAAGTGATTCTCTTAATCGCTTTATAGTTTCCCTCAGTTGATAATAGTTTTAGTAGTCATCCGTCAAAGCTGTTGCAATTGAACAATCTGATTTTCATGTGCAGTCTGTTGCAATATGTGATGAAGCATTAGGATTTCTTAATGATCTTATATTTTCTCTGCACAGTTATTCTAGCAGAGGCTGTCGCTCTGGTTGCTGCTGGCACTGTGCATCGAGTTTGTATAACGACTTGGTAGCTTATCTTCTCATACTAAATCCTTTACTGTTTAATTCTTTTTATCCTTATGAAACTGTTATTCCCTGTGTATGGATTGCTGAGTCTGGTGATTGATAAAGGAGCCCTTTTCGGCAAGAGGAGAAAATGATTACTCTTAGTAAGAATAACAATATAAAAGGAAAATGGTAGCAATTTTATTTCCATTTATTTCCATTGGTCAGCTAAGTAACTTTAGTTGCCAATTCACAATATTGTATACTTGAACTATTACTCTGTAGTCTGTATCTACATTTTGCCTATAGTTCCTTGTCCCATGGCTTCAAGCACTCTCAAAGCMCATCAATTGTAAGACCTTTTTGATCTATATGTATGTTTGTATCTTGCTGTTTCAACTTTCAAGAGTCTTTTAATCCATACGTCTTAAAAAGAAAAAAATAAAAGAACAATGCGTGAAACATGGTTGGTACATGAAGAACATCAGCGAAATCAACAATTCTGGKATGAAGTGATCAGAAAACATTTTAATCGTGGGGATAGTCGATACGTCTCGATAGGAAGTAGTTTTTTTAGAGCATTCTGTGTGCCTTTTAGCTAGGCAGGCTCTTGGCTTTTCTGTTTTAGTTCCGTTTTTTTTCTCCAAATCTGTAGCTTATATTTGTGCTTTCGATATCTTTACTAAACCTTTCTTCCAAGCCGGGGTCTTTCCGGAAACAGCCTTTCTGTCTCTTTGGAGATGGTTGCTATTGTCAATAACAACTAAATAAAAATTCTTGCATTTGATATGGATTTTTTTTCCAGCTTCTTGTTCTCGGCTGCGTTATTGTACGAGGTCAACAAGATTTCAGGGGTGATGATCTCGAAAGCAGAATCTAAAAGTCGAAGGCATTGAAGGCGGAGACTATTCCGAGCTTGTGACGCCTGCACCTGTTTTTGTTCTCATTGTAACCTTCAAAGTAAGATGATAGATACAATATTTTAGACCTATATATATACTACTCGCTGTACGTTCAATTTCATCTGCCGATCATGGCAAGGGTGCACTTGCATCGTMAAGACTTAACTTCCGTGCATATATTATTATGAGGTCGTGGTTGGAAGTAGAGATGCACAAAAGCTTGAAGCTTGGCCCGAAAAAGGCACTGGCCTGTCAAGCCTGAAACCCAGGCCAGGTCTAGCCTAAAAGCCTGATCGGGCCATGTTTTTTTCAAAAGCATGGGCCTAGGTTCACTTTTTTGCTTACTGAAAACGGGTTTGAAAAGCCTGGCCCAGACCTGAAAAAKTCAGGGCCTTTGTGCATCTCTAGTTGGAAGCACTCTTTTGCACACATGGAGATCCCGAGTGGCCATAATGGATCTTTGTGAAACTATGGTTTAACGTTGTTTAGTAGCCACGCTAACGTTCGTTTATGTTCTTTGGTTTGGATCGACACTTGCCGTTGTAATTCAAGGTGATTTGCTCCAGGGGGAATAACACAAATTCAACAAGGATTTCCTTGTTATCTGTGAAATCTGAACCTAAAAAAATGTGGTTCTTGATTGTTGAATGTGAATATACAAATACTCGGTAGTCGTAACTTGTAACTCATAACCRTGCAATTGGTTGCTTTTTGCAAAGTTCCGTCTTCAGTTGGTCGTTGAACTATGTTTCGTTTGATGGTCCTTGGCTCGTTCTTTAAAAGGATCGACAATCAAGCACATACAAATTTTAAGCAACTCAAGCAAAATAAAACCACTTTTCTTTAGCTTTAAACTCGAGCACCAAATCCTTGAAGCAATTTCATAGAGGTCAGCACTTCAAGCTCTTTAGAACTCATTCAACCGCAGAAGGGTTTATCTGGTTGTTAACTTCATGAGCTCAAGTCCCGAAGAGATTAATCGAGGTGTGCATAAGCCGATTCAGACAACAAATCTATCAAATTTCGGGCCAACAGATTCAGACTCAGGTATTTCAAACTCAACCAATAAGAATAGTCTTGAAAGTCCACAATTTGGAAAGCAAGCCAAAAAAACATGATAGACCAAGCTGCTTCTACACCAACAAACTTCCTCTTGGATTCAAGTCTTTTATTTCCATCTGATAATAGCTGAACCCCATGTAAGACCAGCACCAAATCCCGCTGTTGCGATTGTTTGACCCGACTTGATTTTCCCGCTACGCACCGCTTCATCTAACGCCAACGGAATGGAAGCTGCACTTGTGTTACCATAGTTGGCCAAGTTTGATATCACTCGATCTGTTGGGATTTCTAAACGTGTTGCAACTCCATCAAGGATCCTCTGGTTCGCCTGCGTATTAACCAAACCGTAACCTTTTCATAATGTCACTAGAAAAGTAACAACTTTTGAGTTAATTTTACCGATGTCTTTTTGTCAAGATTTCTAACCTACAAGTCCTGAGTTTGAACCCCTACCCTTTAGAGCGCTTTCCACGATCATTATTGGGGAGGTAAATTGCAGTGTCCTAGGGGAGGTGTGGGGGGCGATTTGTGAAGATTTGTAGCCTAGACGTCCCGAGTTTAAACTAGAGATGCACAAGACGGGGCTTTTTCAGCATGGRCCCGACCTTCCAAGCGCGTTTTTCAGTAACCAAAAAAGCTTTTTCCAGGCCAGACTTTAACTGAGATRTGAAAAAAGTTGGCCTGATCGGGCTCTAACGGCAGGCCAGTGCTCGGGCTTTTTTGTGCATCAACCAATACATGTGGGATCAACTTTGTTACAAGAGAAGTTGTGGAAACGGGTTTGCAATACTCTTTTAGGTCGCCCATCGTACCAGTTCCACGCCCATCATTGGCAAGGTAAATCACAATATCCTAGGCAGGGTGGGCGGGCCCGATTTAAACCCGACACCTTGTTGTGAAAACCCCATCCTTTTTCTACTGGGACAAGTTTACTAGAAAAGTTCAACCAAAGTGAATCTCGAACAAAGACTTGACAATTTGTCTCATACCTGATGGAGCAATAACCAATCGATGCTAGAACGAGTCATCCCAGCRTTCTGGAGCGCAATCTCGATCGATTGTGGCACCACACGACAAGCAAACCTAAAAACCTCCTTACCATTCATCTGAACAAATGAATAAGAAGAACCCTTTGGAGGAAATCCCAATACCGAACCATTAGAACCGAAYGAACCATCTGCTTCGTTCTCTTTGATGCTTGCATTCAAGTGCCTGCCAAAAAAACCAATAGCTTTCTATTCATAGGTCAACAATTTGACGTCCCCTCATCCCAAATAACGTGTCCACATTTCTATTTTAGTTTGTCTCAAGATAAGTGTTTAGTTTTCAATTCTACCCTTAAATTATGATATGAAGAAATTCATTACTCCCTCTAGTGTTATGGGTAAAATTATCATTTAGTTAATCAAAAAGTGCAATATTTTTTTTTGATTAACCTGGATATCCAACCCGCTATGTGAGCCGACTAATCCCAGGACGACTACCTGCTTTGCATATAGCCCGGAGTCACCGCATTTGAACCTCCGTGGCCACAAGGGGATTTTTATTCCTCCTTGGATTTGAACCTGGGACCTCCTGGTACTTTTGACCTTTGGAGCCAAGCTCAAACCAATCAGGCAYCATCCTTGTGGTTAAAAGTGCAATAATTACACATTTCCAAACGGTGAATTTTTCATTGGGAACATTTATTTAATTTTAAGCACTTGAATTTAGGAAAAGATCGTCAAACAATTTTCTTTGTTCTCTTTCAAGCCGTGGGTTTTCACGGAAACAACCTCTCACCCACCCTTTGGGATAGATGTAAGCTCTTACCTAGGGGTGTAAACGAGCCAAGTTGACTTGAGCAGTTGGTTATTCGAGCTTGGCTTGAAAAATTAATATCAGGCTCAAGCTCGAATAACTTTCTCAATGTAGGGCTCGGGCTCGAGCTTGAATATTTTGAGTTATCGAGCTTGATGCTCGTTTATGGGCTCGAACTCACGATCGATTAACTCATTTATTGGCTTGAGGTGATAATTTTTATWTCTTCATTGTATGATTTATAAAGACATGAGCATATTTGGCTCAAAAAAGTGTATGCTTGAATGGTTTGTCTCGAGACAAAAATTTAATCGAGTTTCCAAACGAGCCGAGTAGAACCTTGGTGTTATGAAGYTCGGCTCGTTAGTTGAACGAGTTTTGATGGTTAAAGCTCGACTCGTTTACATCCCCTAATCCTACCCTTCTGGAATAATGGGATATAATGGGTTCGTTTGGTTCGGTTTTAACTTGAAAACTAACGAAAACGGAAAAGTTGCAAATTCCATTGAAATTAAAAATAGCAGGGACTAAAACCTGTTGCCTTCACCGTCACTGTGCAAATCGAAACCAAATAAGCCATCTTCCTCACTTTCACAGGCCTGCAGAAAGTTGCAGCTAATCTCACAAAAACATATAAAAGCTACAAAGAAATACGAAAAAGGAAATTCATCTGAAACAAGAATTTAGATACAAGAACTTCATAGGAAACTCGTAAGTTAGACTTCTTTCGTCCCWGTGGTTTGCTAAAAATGGCGGTTTGGGTCGAARGAGTAAATTACGTTTTTCGTCCCTGTGGTTTGCTAAAAATTGCGGTTTCGTCCCTATGGTTTACAATTCATTTCTATTTTCCTCCTTGAGGCCAAAACACTATTTTCAAGTATGAAGGACTAAAATACAAATGAATTGCAAACCAGAGGGACGAAATAAGCAATAAATTTTAAATCATAAGGACGAAAATATAAATTTTCAACAAACCACAGGGACTAAAAACGTAATTTACTCTAAAGTTTTTCTAAATTTCCTATTATGTACCCATATTTATCAGTAACYTATTGATCTTGTAACATGTGATGACGTGGATGTCAAGTTTATCGTCGCCTTCATTATAACCTTTTCGTAAATGRATGTCCATATCATTAAATGTTAGAAGATGAGCATGTTATTAGTCAAAATGAGTACAAAAAGCCCGAAGTGTCATTYGCCCAGCGGTACCCGGGTTACCAGTAGAATGGTTCAAGCCTCACCACTGTGTGTGAATGTTTGCTGTATATAAATACTATATACTTCAAAAAAAACGAGTACAAAATACTAAAATTTTATACTAGGTTACATCGATTGTGAAAAAAAAAGTTCTTCGTTGTACTAAATAGGAACTATGTACCTGAACTAATACTGCACCAGCAGCATCCCCGAATAAGATACAAGTCCCTCTATCAGTCCAATCAACATAACGAGACAGAGCATCAGCTCCAATCACAAGAACATTTTTGAATCCACCAGCTGCACGAAAAGTTGAAATTTCTAAGAAATGTGAAGACATTGAAGAAGAATTGATCAAAAGAATGAAAGTTTACCTCGGATATAGCATGCAGCCGAGACTAGACCCAATACAAATCCACTACAAGCAGCTGTAATATCGAAAGCCAATGGATTTCCCTTGCACCCAAGTGCTGCTTGTATCTGACATATGAGAAGCCAATGAAGGTTTTACAAAACTTCGAATCTTGAGGTCAATTCAAGTACTCGAATTGCTACATCGACATCACAGGGAAGAGACTAGAATGTGGTTATGTGGGACCTCACACTTTTTAGGGAGCCCAAATGACTCCCCCATGACCCACCCACACCTCGGGGCTGTGAATAAGTCGCTCCGCATTCACCCAACAACATKATACATAAATCACAATCCTCACTACCATATTATGAAATGATTGGTAACCATGGGTGTCTRGGCCAACTTATGCGCATCTCCGACCCTGAAGTTAACAGCCAGGCAAACCCTCCGGTGCTCTTGAGGGGACTTGAACTGGCRACCTCTGGGCAGCAAACCCAAGGTCTTACCAGTTGAGCTACCCCTCAATGGCAACACATAGATGCTAAATCTTACAGTTTGGTAAAGTATGATGTCAACATGGAACCATATATGTGCACCATGACTAAACCAAATATTGCCTGCATTACATCAGTGATTATCCAAGCATCCTAATWTTCTAGAGCAAGCTTTCGTTTAAGTTTGTGTTCTTGAATTCTTTTGAGCCTTTAAAGCAAGACAAGAAAATTTCTGTTTGGCCATTAGTTGTCCGACAKGGCAAAATGCATTAAAATGCAACAAAGTTYGGTTTAGTTCCTATTTAGTGTGACGAAGATTTTTTTTTCTCAAATGATGTAATAAAGTTTCAAAATTTCCTATTTGGAYATCCATTTTGACCGGTAATCCATTGATTGTGTAAAATTTGACATGGATGCCCGTTTATGAAAGGGTTACGCCAAAGTGGACGATAAMCTTGATATCCACAATCACAAGGGTAGTGCCCGATTGGTTTGAGCTTGGGCTCCATCAAAARTGCCTRGAGGYCCCAGRTTCGAATCCAAGGAGGAATAAAAAWCCCCTTGTGGCCACGGAGGTTCAAATGCGGTGACTTCGGGCTAACTGCAATGCAGGTGGTCACCCGAGGATTAGTYAGCTCACATAGCGGGTTGGATATCCAGGTTAATAAAAAAAATCTTGACATCCACGTCATTAAATGTTATAAAATCASCAGGTTGCCAATCAAAATGGGTARAAAATAGGAAATTTTGAAACTGTTACATTGAACACAAAATTTTGAAGCTTTGACACATTGATTGAGAAAACAAAAGTTCTTTGTTACATTAAATATGAACYAGGCAAAATTCATTGCATTTAGATGCATTGTGTCCTATCCAACACATGATTTCTTCAAACAAACTCATATCCAACCACATTAAATACAAAAATTAAACCATGAACACAAAATCATATAAATAGATAAACTACACAGACTTCTCATCATATTAAGTAGTGTTACCTGAGGAGCACTACCAAATAGATCATCTGGGGTTGATGTACACAACAGGACTAGATCCACATCATTAGGATCAACCTCTGCCATCTCAAGGGCTTTCGCAGCTGCTTCAACAGCCAACCCTGTCATTCTATCCTTCCCTGTAAAAGCACGATTAAGGTCATATTACTAAGTATATAGACTTTAAACATCTTTTTTTTTACTTATTGCTATCGGTGAGCCCACACTATTTTTTTGAGCAATAAGGTGCAAGCCATTAGACTCACGTACGCTAAAATATTAAAAACATATAGCTCAAACTCAAAGTGATCAATCTCTACGCTATCCTGAAAAGAATAGTTTATCTCATACTCTCACACTGAAATGTTGCTCTCTGTATCTTGAGGTATCTCAAGGGCTCTAAGAACAAAGATATCCCATATTTTGATTAGAGACGTTGTAAAATTTGGCSTACTTTACTTATGAAAGATTTTGCAAGATTGTTGGTTTTTCTAGAACTGACTGAACAGAGTGCCCAATGACAACATAGATCTACTACACGTTRTTTCGTCTTTGTTGGTGGGAATCTGTTATCTTGAAAGCGTAATCAAAATGTTCCTCATTCCAGTGCCAAGTTAGTGGATCGATCTATGGTCAACTTCAAATGTGAGATGACCTGGACCATGTGTCTGCTTGGTAAGGTGATACATTTAAAATGGAGCAGTTTATCGAATATATATTGAAAATAAGATTATTAGAATATCCCTTTATGTTTTGTATCTAGTGGTCATTTGGTTCTCCTTTTGATGATCATTGGAAAGAAAACATGATTCAGCTTTGTATTTTATGCCCAAAACAGATTTCTTAACAAGTGTTCCCAAGAAAAAGAGGGACGATTACTTCCCAAAAATTTGAGATCAAATATAATGGAAGAAAGCGACTAGATGTTGACTTAGCACAACCGAAATGATATATTTGTGCCAATAACATTTTCCAAAACCAGATCAACTATATTCAGATACTTAAGAATCTTAAAACAATGCCTCAAGAATAAACTATATTTGCATATTTTGTGCTTGCAAAAGAAAAGTAAGTTTTTATGAATAACTTCCTGAATGTTGAACTGCCTTGAGACTTGAAAAACTAATGATTCTCAACCACAAACAAACCTGTAAGAACTCGTCGATTACGGATTCCAGTTCGAACAGAGATCCATTCATCATTTGTGTCAACAATCTTTGAAAGATCATCATTAGAAACCTGAAGAGTGGGTACAGCAGAACCACATCCAACTAATTTGCAGCCCTTGCCAACTAGCCTGGAAAAAGAACAAAAAAAAAAGAATGAGAAATTGAACACATTTGACTAAAATATTCAATGGGATTAGCAGATCCTAGCAATCTAGCTTTTCTACTAAAATATCACCACATACATATATAGAAAAACACTTCTGTTTTATTTCAATGCATCTGGTAAATGTTCTTTAGATTCTAAGATAATGATTGGATGCATATATTCATTTTAGTGGTTCCATAACGACCATAATTTTTTTTGGAAATKGGTGACCCYAGGCTTCRSCCAGACTAATCCCATGGCAAGTTGCAACTGTGGGCTCAGAGGTAAATCTCCCAATGGCCAAAGCGCATATATAGATGGCATGAATCGAACCCAGGTTGATTTTATCATCCCCTTGTCTTTACCCTGGTTCCATAGAAATGCAACTCCTTCAAACGTCCAAAACGATGCAAGAAACTGCTTCCAATTTGCTTTCACCATTTCAAATATCACACTTATCAACTCAATGACCAAACCTCCCTGCCTAACTATACCATGAAAGAAAGATACTTTCTAGGAAGTGACTGTTTATCAAATGTCTAAATTACCTTTGAATGATGGGAAAATAAGAGAACCCTATTGATTCAAAGCAAATACCCTCAAGTTTTTACAATGATTACAATGGGCAAATAGATCATAGTCACTTGAACCCAAACCAATGTCATTAACTTTTTATGCAACCAGCTTGTTGATTTACTTCTTTTATCAATCAAGCACTTCTCATCCATCAAACAGTCAAATACTAAAATGGACACATTAATGCAATAATCTGATGGAAAAAAGCTCTTTAACTTCCCTTCCCAAATCCCAACTATCACAAAGCCAGGAGCTTTGATGCACCAAGATCACCCTTCTATAATTCTATATAATCATGATTCTAAAGCATGCACATGAAGTCATTTAACATTCAAAATAGACCCAAAAGAGGAGTAAGCAGAATAAACAACAACAAGCATGTTCAAATAGATGTTAAACTTCTGCAAACAAATACCCACAGAAGTTATCAAAATACAGATAAAAGAAGCATTTGTAGATACATAAAAACCTACMATTTATTCAATTACAAGAGTAGAAGTACCTGGTGGGCTGAGATTCAGAAGGGGAGAGCTTATCAACACCTTGAACAGCATTGGCGCAGGATACCCTCTTGGAGATTCCATAAAACCCAGATCGAGAAATGGATATGGATGGAGAAATCTTCATTTTATTCATATTAGGAACTGTAGGAGTGAAAACCCAAGATGCATTTGCCATTAACACACCAAATGAACAGAATCTAGGATCAATTTTATGCCAAAAAAAAAGAAATCTTTTAGTTTTTTTAGCTAATTATGGTTCTTGATGAAACAATGAGAACGTCTGAAGGGTATACAAAGCCCATAGATTGGAACAGATGAGCATGCAGGAAGAAGATTGAAATTTCTCTTCAGCTGAGGAGGAGGAGGAGGGTATTTGCTGGGTTTTCTTCTTCAACAATTTTTCGGAGTGTTCGAAGCAAAACCCAAATCTCTATTTGCTAAAATGTTTTCACAAATTTGACTTCTTGATCTTTATGCCAAAAAAAATTCATTATTTGACCACTATAGTCTACAAGTATTATGATTTTGAGCATCCAAGTTTGTTTCTTGTGATTTTGAGATCTTTTTTTGACAAATATTTTTCTTTATCATTATTTTTTGAACTTCCGGTCAAAATCATGAAGGAAAAAAATCAAAAAATTCGATTAATCTAGAGACAGATACAATCAAGATCGGTTCATAGACCATCTGCTCCCATTTAGGGTTTTCTAAATTCACTTTATCGGTTGAGTAAATGAAGTGAAACTTTGTATTCCAACTTTTTTAATGATATATGCATCAAAATACGTGTTTTGATCCGATTTTTACTTTATGTAAGATACTTTTAGGAACCTTYGTTTTGATAGCTCAGAGATATGACATCTTAGACGTGTAGATATTTGATTTACATATGAGGATGCAGGAAAATGCARCATACTCTGATTGATTCCTATATTGTGTAACATACTTTGGTCTRAATATGACATGTTACATCTACCAAAATGAAACTTGCAAAAATATGTTACGTAAAATAAGAASCAAATTAAAATACATTACATTTTCATGCAATTTCCTCTTTTATTTAAAATCATCCCGTTGGAGCCCAACAATATCACTAATAACATCAATATCGGAACGCGTTTTTGCACATATCATGTTAAAGTATTTCAAGATACATTCGATAAATATTTTTTAGGGTGTTTTAGTAACGAAGACAAATTTGGAGGGGTGAAATTACAAATTTCATCAAATTCAAATGGTAAAGTTTATCATTATGGGTGTGGAGTAGGTTGGTAGGTTGGGGAAAGTAGGAAATAAAAAATGAGATGATTTCTTAAATATTTGGGTAAAAAACTCTATCTMAATCGATAAAAAGTGGCTATGTTTGGTATTACTCACGTTTATAAYTTTTACTAAAAATTGGTTTTTAGGAATTTCTTGAAAACTTCATTATTTATTTGGTTCGACGTTGTTTTAAATTTACATATTTTTAAATTATCAACAAACTCAAGTATGTAATCGTTCATGATCTGATTTGGGATCAATCCGTTTTTTTAACTAAAACCTAACCGGTTTATGTCATTTTAGTTTGCAGTTTAATTATTTTGTATTGTCGGTTTATATGATTCAAAGAGATTAAAGCCATTGTAGATAAAACATTTATATGTATATTGATAAAGATGATGTTGTGTGACAAAGGATTAAGGAAAAWGGAAAACTATATAAACCTAATACTATTGACAAATGATAAGAAAGGTTCCTAAGGCGAAGGATCGTATGAGAAGGAGAGTTAAGATGAGAAGCATAAGAAGGGATCTGGACCCTTGAACTTGATCACCTTTTAATCTCTTGTCCACTCATGAATTGTGCTTCTCATGGGAATTGATCTGGTGCATCTCATCCTAATGTGCATCAAATGGTGGAGATCACTTCTTATGCTTCTTACCTTAATTCTTCTTCTCAYCGGAACCCAACTCAGGTTCCTCAACTATACATACATACATACATTTCTAACACCCCTCTCTTAAACTCAAGGTGGATCATAAGAAATAAACTTACGTTTGTGGACGAAACACAAAGAGCAACCATGGAGAAGAGCGTTGGTTAAGACATCTACGGTTTAATTACTCAGTCATGGAAACTAAAACAAGACGAATAGTGTTGTGAACTACATGTTGGCAAGTGAAATGACATTTTATCTCAATATGCTTGGTAAGCTCATCAAACACATCACAATGTTAATGGCACTACAATTGTCGCACCGGGAAAATAGTAGGAGATGACTGAGACACACCCATATTCAAACAAGAGACATCCTAACCAGTAATTCATGTGTGGTGTCTGCAAATGTATAGTATTTGGCTTCCATACTAGATTGAAGAGTGATAAATTACTTCTTGTTGTACCCAGAAAAAAAAAAGAATCAACGAGAAAGAAACAATAACCATTGGTGAACCGACGAGCGGTGACATCACCATCCTAGTCAGCATCAAAAAATGCATGAAGTTCAAGGGATGACGATGATGAGAAGTGTAGACCATAAAATATGGTCCCTTTGATGTACCTTATAATTGTCAAAGCAACAACATAATGAGAAGGACGTGGAACAACCATGAATTGACTAACAATATGAATAAYAAATGCAAGATTAGGTCGTGAGACAATCAATTAAACTAGAGATCCCACTAACTTATAGTAGAGCGTAAGATCTAGAATAAATAGGCCATCATTAGGTGTGAACTTAAAGTTAGGCTCAAGAGGTGTAAAAGAAATCCTGTTGTTAGTAATACCTGCGCAAGAGATGAATCTGGGTCATTGCTAGCTTGACACAAATAGATACTAGAATCCCGAGTCAAAACCTTGAGACCATGAAAGTAACGAGGTTGCCCCATATAACACATAATGTGTTTGTAGGGGGGGGGGGGTGAATACAATACAACAAAATTTACTTTTTAATTTTGTATATTTATTAAAAACAAAGAATTACAAATTTGGTGTGAAAGCTAGGGAGGGAAAACCTGATCCTAAAYAATCTGGCTGGTGAAAAATTTGCTAAATACTGAAAGAGTAAGAGTAGAAGGTACCCTATCAGATTTGAAGAACTGATATAGTCTTACAGATGGTTGACTCCGATTTTGCTTAATAAACTCTCACTCATAATTCCTTTGAAAACGGATGAGTTSCAACATATGACAATGTTGACATTTTTATAATCATCCGTTGCATTAAATGTTGTTGTCCAACTTTAATGCGTGTCTTCATCAGATTTGTTGATTGGTGTATGTTTATACTCTTCATTTCAACCTTTGAAAGTGATGTAGATGTTTATTAACACAAGCCATCCTTTTTATGCAGAGGGAATATAAACGAAGTATGGTACTAATAAAATAGTACTTTAGAACTTATTTTGTCTGACATGCTAAGCATGTTCCCATACTAGAACAAAAGTTCGTAGAGTTGGTAAGCCAAACTTGTTGGTTAAGTTTGATTTCAAAATTGGCTTGCTAGAAGTAGTATTTATCAGACTACCTTTGAATTTATCTTGTATTGATATTTTTTCTGCTAGATGGAAAACCAATCCTCTTTGGTGACAATCTTGGCTTATCTTCAACTAGTCTTCRATTTTGTTGAAGGCCTTTTGTTCTTGGATCCATACAGATAATGACAAGACTTTTACAAAGGAAAAATCCTATATATTTTCTTTCTGAGACATAAGCTATATTCTGATTCCAACAAGACTTTTGTTTTATGAAATATTAAAATCGGATTTTGCAACTTTCGAGTCCTTTTGGATTCTGAATACTAGAACTAGATATTGAGTTCSAAGACAAATCTAGGTGCCAAATCTGGATACCATGTCCTGATATAAATTTGGGGGCCAAGTCTAGGTATGAATCAGAATAACAAATCCAAATATTAATACATATACAAATTCGGATAGGATCATTATCTGTTGCCAATCCAGATACATATCYTGAAGGATTTGATTGCAAAATGTTAATCCGAATTGTTTTAAGGCATATGCTACTTCTAAGAATTTTTCTAAGTGTTAGATCAGATGTATTCTTATTATCAAATCAAATGGCTGAGACTACGAACACCAATATTTATATATTTATCATCTGTTATTTCTTGGTTCTTTGGTTCTCCCCTCATATCAACTTTATCTCTCATTCATTTTTTCTCTCTCTCTCTCTCTCTTGCTACACACACATATTTATATATAGAGGCTTAATTAAATAACTACGTATAATTTATAAGATCCGTGAGATCTAATGTACTCATTTAAGATAACCATCTTATTTGTTAAATAAACATAAAAACTAATTTAGTAATAAAAAATAAATCTCATAAAACCAATTAATTAATTCCCCCCTCCCCTCCCCTCCCCTCCTAAATAGGAAATCCATAACTCCCATTGCCTCACCTTCCTTCATCTTGTACTCCAAACCCTCATATGAAACCTACTAACTAGCGCCACCCACATCAGGGACCTAACATTTGTCTCTCGCTTTCCCTTACATCTCCTAAAAACAACTACCACCACTTAATGTGACCACCGCCATATCGTTTCGTTTCCCCTCGTCATCCTCACTGTTGAGAACCATCTGCCACCCGCTAGGGATACAAAAAGTGACACGAACGAACGTTGCCTAAATCTAAATGATGCACCACAATCTATATCTTATCGGAGCAGGGCCGACCCTGGCCACGTGCAGCCCGTGCGGTCGTACAGGGCATCAAATCCTAAAGGGGCATCAAGTTGTCATCTATTACTAGTTTTGTGTTTAATAATTTGGGAATTGGACAATTCAAATTTTAACTATAAAAACATGTCCAAGGCCCAGTAATGATGGATATTGAATGCACATCGTGAATCGGTTAACGCCATCATTCCAACAACTCAATCTAATTTATATTGTTTTCTTCAAAGTTCGACTATTTCGATTTTCAAGGCATTGAGTTTTGTTTCCAGCCGATTAACGGTCATGTAATTAGATTAAAAAAAATCAAAGATGAAAATCTTGAATGACTGATTTCTACTATTGACTGAACTTACCGAGTTGTTGTGTGAATCATATTATGATTTTATGAATCTTAAATCTTTTTCTAAAAAAATTTAAATTTCTAACCGATTATCATAAAGTTGTGTCATGTGTGGTCATGTGGGTTACAGACCTACTAGGCTAAGGGGCTAAGGGATTTTTGTCATTTTGATAATGAATCTTCCTTTTGCATATTGAAATATCTGAGAATTGAAATTTGCAATGCACATGAGCACATCACTATATCAACATGGGTGGAGTGCGCTACACAACATTAACAACATATTGTGATATTATCTTAATTATTGGACACTTGTTCTTTACAATGCACAGTAACAAAGATTATGAATTTTACAATTTATCATTGTTCTTTTGG